ATGACTAATTAAGATCTTTTGCTATATTTTAAATCTTCGAATGTTTCAAGGAACATAAGACAACAAATTTAATGACCAAGTCGTGATTGGGGAATTTTACTTCCTTGGTATGTCTGTCTCCATTGGTTAGTTCCAAAATACTTGGATGAACTTAAGATGGTTATTTAAATTATTTAGAAAGATAATAGTGTCTGGGGAAGTGATTTTAATGGTTATTATCATATTAATGCACTCATTCATTCTATAACTTGGTTATATTCAACTTTCTTTTTTTGCTTTTAACTTATCATTTTTTATTGGAGTTGATTGTAAATTGTTGAAAGTTGCGGGACACACACCTACTATCCGCCCCTTCTTCATATTACTTGGCCTTTGGTGTGGGTGGCACTTATCGGATCTTCATCCAATAAAAGACATAGCTTTTAGTGCATATGGATTAAGATCCTTAGTCTTTGTATTAAACCCTTAGGTATCTTTCTTATGGATCCCAAAGGTTGACAACCTTATAGGGAGATTTATTACTTTTTGGAAGACATGTAGACATATCATTAGAAATCCCCACATTTTATAGTAGTTTTTTTATATCTTTTCTATTTTATTTGCTCTTCTATATGTGTGGTCTAAAAAGAAAGAAAAGATCCAACATATTGTGGATCGATCTCCAGAGCCTAATGATCTGCATTCTTTGGGAAGAAACATATTACATGATCATGAAATGATTGAGAAATTATATGATAACTACTTTAAAAGAAGTTTGTGATGTTGTCAAACAAAATTACTCAAAGCTCAATAATGATGCACTCATTTATAAGATCAAAACCAAACTTTGCATAACAAATAATATAGCTGTCTTGTCGTTGAATATTTTAATGCTATAAAAATTTTTTGGTGTGAAGTAGATTATTATCACGATCTCAAGATGTCGTGTTGAGGATGCAATAATTTTCATGCAAATTGTTGAAAAAGAAATGATATTTGAGTTTCAGGTGGGATTCTCTAATGACTTTGATTAGGTCCTTTTCCAAATCCTAAGTTGAAAAAATTTCCCTTCTTTAAATTAAGTTTCTCCCTTGTATGAGCTAAAGAAGAAATGAGAATGATGATATTCAATTATTTGGTCTCTAAAACATTTGAAGCTCAAGAAAGTGTTTTGCTGTTACAAATTTCTCTCCGAAGAAGGATAAAAGTTTCATGTCAAAGGCAATCTCTAATGTAATATTGTAAGAAAAATTGGTGCATTAAAGAAATGTAGGAAACTTCATGAAAAACCTTAGACTATGATGAAAATTAAGAAGGGAACAAAAAGAAACATGCCTGTTTTGTAAAAATAGATAGACTTAGAAGTAATTAGCAAACTAATGATTTTTCTAATTTCTTTGAAAAAAATATTGATAATTTTTAGATTCAGGTGCTACTAACATTATGACAAACTTTATCAACATGTTTTAAACCTACAAACATTTGCCCTATAATAGAAAAATAAAATTAACATGATTTTCTAACAATTGTTGTAGGACTGGGACATGTCTCAATTTTGCCGACTTTTGTCCTTATAAATTTATTACATGCTCTTTACTTTGTAGTTAATATTTTATTATTCCATAAATTTATAAAATATCATAATTATAAAGTCACATTTATGCTGATTATTGTATATTTTAGGATCTCATCATGAAGAAGACGATTAAGAAAGCTAGTGAAAAGGATGAACTTTATCTTCTTAAGGATTGGAATCAATTACCATGCTTGTTTATTTTCACTATAATACCTCATCATTTGAGAATATTATTATAGGCTTGAATGTTCCTCTACGAATGCACTTCAATATATTTTCAGCTTCTTTTATGTATATAAATTTTGATGATTTTCATTGTAAGGCTTGTGAACTTGCAAATATTGTCGTTTTGTTTTTCCTGAATGTAATTTCAAACCTTATGTACATTTTATTTTAATTTATTCTGATATTTGATACTACTGAATTTGTCACCTTCATTAATGACTTAGTTATATCTTATTAAATAAAATTCTATATCAGCATTATCCTTCTCACCTCCACTATCTTGTTAAAAAATCACTTTAATACAAATATAAAAATATTTTGGACTGATAAAACTTGTGATTATTTTAATCACACCCGATTATCACTTTTTTAAAGTTGTATTATCTTCTAATTCTCATGTCCAAATATTCCCCAACAAAACATAGTGACAAAATGGAAAAATCTAACTTTTTTGGAAGCCATCAAGCCTCTTCTCCTCCATAATCAAGTACCAAAATGATATTGTGGAGAAACTGTTCTAATTGCCATCTATATGAGCAATAGATAGGTTTCTAAAGTTATTGATTGCAAAATTCCCATAAATTATCTAACAAATTTTCTTCCCACAAATCATTTTTTTCAAAGATTCCACCAATAGTTTTCCTGTGCATTTGCCCTTATTCATACCCTCAGATAACATAGGGGAAAATTGAATCTAAGAGCTTTCAAGTGTGTATTCATTGGTAACCTCCTACTCAAAAAGGGCAAATTGCTACCATTACAAAAAAGATTCTTTATTTCAGTGGATATCACCTCTCCTACTCAAAAAGGGCAAATTGCTACCATCCTGTTACAAAAAAGATTCTTTATTTCAGTGGATATCACCTTTGATGAAAATTGAAATTTATTCATTCAAACTCAACTTTAGGTGGAGGATGTCCGACTGGAATCTAAGCTTGATGATACTTCTTTCATTTGACATTCTTATAACCCAAAATTAAACAAATCCTAGCATTTTATATCTGCAAGTCTATACAATAAGGAAGAAGTTTAGCCAGAATCTCCAACAAGCTCAAGATATAGAACCATTATCATATAACAATGATTAGTCCAGTACTACTATATATTCTATCCCGCAAAATGTACTTTCAAAAGTTTTTCCCTTTACATATCTGCAAGTCTATACAATAAGGAAGAAGTTTAGCCAGAATCTCCAACAAGCTCAAGATTTAGAACCATTATCATATAACAATGATTAGTCCAGTACTACTATATATTCTATCCCGCAAAATGTACTTTCAAAAGTTTTTCCCTTTACATAAAGCTTTTTTTCTTAAATATCAGCTCTAATTTGATTATAATGCTACAAACTCTTTTTGAGACATTGAAAATTGAGAATTGGAAGGTGGCCATGAGAGAAGAGATGATTGCCTTAGATAAAGATCACAATTAAAAGGTTGCGGGCTTATTAGGGGAAAAAAAAAAAAAACTTGAGATGTAAGTGAATTGATTCTATTTTGTGTAAAGTAGCAGGGAGTTTATTATGGTACAAGATAAGGTTAGCAATCAAAGGATACACTTAATTCTATATTTGCTATCGAAATTTTTTTTTTCACGTTGCAAAAATGAATATAATCCACATTCTAATTTTTCTTGTTGTTAATTATAGATGATTATGTAAGAGTATGATGTGAAGAATGTTTTCTTATGAGGATGTCGTAGAAGAGATCTATATGGATCCATCACCCGGATTCATAGTGCATTCACAAAGAATAAGGTGTGTAAATTTAAACAAGCTTTATATGGACTCTAACAAAGGCTTGGTTTAGTGGATATAGAGCACTTCTTTAATAAAAAAAATCCCAATTCTCATTGAATTTTTATTGAGGAAATTGCTATAGTTAATGACAATCAAAAGGAGCTCCTTAAGATGAAACTTTTTGAAGAATTTGAAATCCAAGTAGGCAAACTCAAATACTTCATGAGCTTAGAAGTTATTTAATCCATATAAAGATTACTTTTCTCCCACAATAATATATCATTAGATCTACTGAAAGAAATAACAATGATGAATTGCAGGTTGCATGAAACCCCAACTAAATCAGGTTAAAGTTGGACATAGGCGAAGGAATTGAGCTAGAGGCATGACAATACCAAAGATTAGTTCAAAAATTTATTTATCTATCTTACCCTGGACCTGAAATTTAGGTTCACAGCAAGTCTTTTCAGTCAATTCATGCACAAATTTAATAAAATCCACCTTCAAAATTTTCAGAGAAATTAAATCAAGTTCATAGTAGTGAATTTTATACAAAAACTAAGATATAGACTATGCTAAATCATGATACTGCTATTATTGTTGGGAAATTTTATAATTTGGAGAAGAAAGAAATATTATGTTATGTCAAGTTCTAGTATTAAATATGAATTTAGGTCAATTGTCTAAGGAATTTACAGTTTCTATGAACTGTGATCATATTAGATAAATTGAAGATTAAGCGGAAACAACCAATAAAGATATACTATGATAATAAGTCTAGCATCAGCATTGCATACAATTCAGTACAACATAATCGCACCAAGCATGGTGAAGTTGATAGGCACATCATAAAGGAAAAAATGAAAAATGGACTAATTTGCACTCCATACATGTTAACAAGAAATCATCTAGTCAATATATTCACCAAAATGCTTTGCAACTCCATATTAAAAATTATAAGCAAACTTCGAATTGTATATCTCTACCATCTAATTTGAGGGAGAGTGTTGAAAGTTGTGGGAACCACAACTACTATTTGACCCTTTATTTGTATGCCTCGGTTCTTGGTATGGGCACATGGTTTAAAATCTGACTCTTGTATTAAAGCCCTTGGATTGCTTTCCCATGGATCCCTAAAGCTTCTAGCCCTATTGGGGGATTAATCACTTCTTATTTTATGCTATGAGTAATTTGTTTTGAATTTTTTTTTCCTTTTGAAACAAGTGGACATTTCTATAACTCTATATAAATCCCCACATTTTGTGCAAATAAAAAACAATAAGAACTCGAGTAGTATTTTTTCACATCGTTTCTACTTTTTCTACTTTTCTACATAAACTATTTTGGCATTATCTAGATATCTTAATTTATAACTTTTTTTTTAAAAATTACTTGTATCCTATTGTTTTTTATCATGATTTATATTGTTTGATCCCTTGTCTTATATATTCTCTGATTTTTGTAATGTTTTTGTCTTGATAGGTAGAATCTGGCAACGTTGGACTTGGGGCATCAGTGGTAATAGAAGGAACTTTGGTCAGAAGTGAAGGATCAAAGCAGAAAGTGGAGCTAAAAGTGGCGAGGCTTGCAGTGGTTGATATACGAGAGAAATCTTGTTATTATATTTGGGATGTATTTTTAATTTCAATTATCTGAGCTGAATTTACAGTTTGAAAATCACACCTTATCAATGGTGTTTCCAATTTTCTATAAACTGTTCATCCATCAATAATTTCGTATGATGGCATTAAATTTCCCAATTCAAATCGAAGTATCTGAGCTGAATTTACAGTTTGAAAATCACATCTTATCAATGGTGTTTCCAATTTTCAATAAACTGTTCATCCATCAATAATTTAGTATGATGGCATTAAATTTCCCAATTCAAATCGAAGTAACTTTAGGCATTAAAGTTTTAACTACATCTGTTTGTCTTGTTTTCTTCATTTATTAATTAGTTAAACCTTTCTTTCAAGTTCTAAAAGGTAAATTTTGAGTTTTGATTGGGGTACACAAATTATCAAAGTTTATGTAAATTAGATTGTATTGAATTTCGAGTTTCAACAAGTTCCAGAGTTGGTTTTGTCTCTTTACATTTCCATGTGATGTCGCAACAATAATTGTTTTGGCCTTCGAAGTTAAAAATTTTGATTTAAACTCTTCCTTGGTAAATCTTGAATGCAAACATGGTCGTCTGAACATTTAATGTTAATAATTTTTATTATTGACCCGGTATTTGGTAAACTTGACACATTTGAAAATTGAACTCCACATAATTATTGATGAGTGTGATAGCCGAAATCCATTTACATAGCTGTGCCATTCAAAATTTTCTTTTCATGTTGTTTCATCACCGTTCTTGCATTACTGCTTCTATGTGTGCACATTGTAGGTTTTTGTTTTCTCTTATATTCGTTTGGCTGTTTGCTCAGATTGGGAAAAGTGATCCTTCGGCTTACCCTATCCAAAAGAAGAGAGCAAGTAGAGAATTTTTGCGAACAATAGCTCACCTTCGCCCTCGAACAAATACATTTGGTGCGGTATGTTCTAGCATTTCATTCATTATCATACTTTTGATCATATTGTGAATTTTCATATTTCTCTGAAACAAACATATTCGTCCTGCTTAATTAGTTTCTATTGGGAATGCTAGGACATTTAAGTTGTAAACGGTGATAAATTGGCAAGTCTTCTGTTCTAGTTCTATCAGTTTGGAACATGAAGATTATGTGTTTTTTTTTTCTGTCAAAGATAACATAGTTACCTTATTTTTCATTATTCCAAGATGAAAAACTTTTCTGGCATTCATGAAAAATACAAAAACATATACCTAAGTTTTTCATTGGTATTCTTGTACTTATTTTCTCTTATAAAGGGGAAATATTCTTCGTTTTGAAGATTGCTTATCAAATTCTGTTCATATCTCAATAAACATTGTCCAGTCAGTGTTTTTTGTTATTTTTCTTTGTTTCAAATAAGCCTGTTGAAGGGTACCTAATGTTATTAATCTTTATCATCCTGCTTAGTATTGGTTTTTTGAAACAATCCTCACAGTTTTTTCCTGAGCAAAAAGAAAATCATAACCAACCATAGAAAAGATAGCAAAGAGATTTATGCCATTACTTTTTATCTTTTTGCTGAGTAACGGTGCCCATTCCACTATTGGCACACAATACAGAAGATACTTAAACAATGTTCTCTCAGCACCATTATCCATTAATCATAGTAAATGTATGACATCATGTCTCCTCCTGACGTTGTTTCAAGCTGCTAAAAAAGATTCACATGCATTGTCAGCATTGAGTTGAAATTTTTGAGATGCATCTCTTTAGTAATGCTTTTTCAATGGGCAATGCCAGTGATTGCATCATGAAGGATTTTTGTGAGTAATTGCCAATTTAAACTTTTAAGAAGGCAGTTTGTAATGTTTTGATTTTATTTATTTTTAAAATTTTGAAAGTAACGTATTATGAATAGCAGTTCTTGGAGTTGTATTTCCAAATTAATTTTGCTTATGCATTCTTTTTTGAGTGACAGTTCAAAGCCCTTTCTTATTAAACTAATGTTTAGGTCAAATACGATCTATTTGTTCCATGCTCACTTATTGTTTGTGCAAATTTTAAGTTATTATTTCTTTGTTTTCATTGCCACATGTCCTACTTTTAAGTCTACTAAGTCGGTGATTGAAGTACTTGTATAGTTTTTTGCTACCGGGCATTGTAGGTTACAAGAGTGAGGAATGCCTTGGCATATGCAACCCACAAGTTTTTCCAGGAAAATGGATTTGTTTGGATCTCAACGCCTATTATTACTGCATCAGATTGTGAAGGTGCTGGAGAACAATTTTGTGTTACTACTTTGGTATAAACATGACCCCAAAGTTATTTTCTTGTAAACTTTCTAGTACTGCATTCTTTTTTTGTTGATTGTTCCTATTTTACTTGTTTTTTGCTGCTATACTAATCTGGCTCGTTCCTTGCCTATTTATTATCTGAATCATTTATCATTATTATGGATGCTGGTTACGCTGTAACCTCATCACGTGGTCTCGGGGTAGAAAATGGAAACAATCTCTCGACTAAAGATGGGGTTTGGAATGAAGCAATATGGGATAGAAGTTGAGTGGGGAGGCGATCAGTATTTTTAAAAGATAAAGATGGAGAGAGGGTCCAACACCCAAAATTTAACAAGCAAGGTAAAATTTTGACGACTTTAAAATGTACCTTAAATTTTGCAATCTCTGAAATTTGACCGAAGCAATTTTATAAAAAACTACACGTTAAAATAATTAATTTGATATATAGCATAATAGATGAATTTTGATTAGAATGGGAGATATAAAATGTGGAAGTTATAAGTTTAATTAAATATAAGTTATAAATTTAATTGAACATGTAAGCCGCAAGTGGCATTTCAACGTTATGGGGAGAACTTGAAAGGTAGAAATCATATTTACGTGATACTCCAGACATTTTTTTCTTCTACACGTTTTTATTGTAACATTTGCCACGAATCAGTGCACTTTTTTGTTTTAGGTGGCCATAGCGGGAGACGAACTTGCGTCGAAAGGCACAAACTTGGTTTGTGGGCTTCTATAAGGGCTTTTAGCACGAAATCAGTGAAGTAAAGGGAGAATTAAGGGAATTTGAGGATGAGGGAAGAAAAATAAGATGCCTGGAAGTATGGTTGATTATGCAAAGATGTGCATTTGCAGTAATAATTTGTAAATGAATCTAATTGAGTTAAGATTACATGAAATCCCAAGTTGTATATGATTTCCAGGTTGTTTGCTCTAGGCGGCGAGCTCGAGACGAGCTTAGGAAAACTCCTCGTAGGACTGCTCTGTCAATTCAAGTAAAATAATCTTGTGCTAACTTATAAAAAATTTCTCTGTAGATTTTCATGTGATTTTATGTTTGTATCATTCTATTTAAAATTTATTACATATTGTAGATGAATACCAACATTGATTGTATGAATGCAGATTGATTGCCCCTTATGATACATGTGATTTTACTATGCTATGAATCTGATGAGTTGCCCCTTATGATACATGTGATTTTACTATGCCATGAATCTGATGAATATGTTTACAAAATCATTATCTGCAAGTATTCATTTGCTACGATTCATTTATAAGATATATAAAATGCCTATGATGAATGCTTGTTATATGAATTATGCTTTATGAAATTTCACAAGTAAGATTATAGGTAAGATATTACATAAATAGTTGCACATACGGATGATGAGAAATGATGAAATTTCTAGAGCTCTTGTATTTGGACAGTAATAAAACTTCGGGAACTGTTGGGATCATTGGATGAAGGAATGTGAGATCATTAGTATCAGGGGCTATTGATAATTGTTATGTTAGGGGGGTCCAACTTTTATCAATAGCTATGACATGACGTGAAAATAGTTGATGCCTATACAATTATAATTGACTTTTTTATAATTAGATTGATGAATTTTATGAACATACTTGTGATTATATGCTTATGATTACACATGAATGAATGAAATTTATGTTTTATAGAACAGTCATGATTCCCTGCATTAAATGTGTGTTCTTTTCATGTTTTATATGTTTATAACATGTATTGTATTGTGGATATGTACATAGATTACATATGAACATACATGTTGTTTCTTTTTGTGTATAAAATCCTATTTTAGATTTGATTATTTTGCTGAGCTTGCTATTGCACTCTACGTTGTTGACTTACATGAAAGCACATAGGCGAGTGGCTAGGTGATAATTTTGGGACATTGTACGGACTTTTGGGTGCAGACTTTTATTATGTTAGATTTAGTAGCTCTGTATTGTTATGCTTTGATGATATGATTTTCATGCTTTTGAATAAATGTGAATATGGATAAATTATGAAATGAACTGTATCAAGTATGTTTGTGGCGATTTAGTCAGACTATTTCATCACTCACTGGGTTTTCATTCTATAAGTCAGAGCGAGTGTTGATGAGAATTTTATTTGACCGAATTATCCACCTCTTTAACAGCTCTGCCGATTCTTAAGGGGGGGCTAGTTGAAGTGTGCCAAAAGATGGTATCAAAGCATGATTGTTGAATATAAAACCTGATGAAAGCGTGTGAATTTAGAAATAATAAGAATAATATAAAAAAAATTGACATATAGTGTTTTCTTTTTCAAAACTTACAAAACAACATGCAAATGATCGGTATGGCTGGCTTTGTCCTTCTAATACACTAGCATATCATTTATAAAGAAAATTACGAAAGTATTCAAAAACTGTTCGAAGACTCTATTCATCATATCCATAAAAGCTACTGGAGTATTGTTTAGTTCAAATGGTTTCACCACGAATTCATAGTCCCATATCTGGTCCTGAAAGCCGTCTTCGTTATTTCTCTCTTTAATCTTCAACTAGTGATAGCCTGACTTTTGATCAACCTTTGAAAATATAAAAACCCCTTCCAACTGATCAAATAAGTAATCAATCCGCGATGGTGGATATTTGTTTTTAACTGTCAGTTTATTCAACTCATTGTTTTCGATGCATATTCTGAAGCTCCCATTCTTCTTCTTTATGAATAATGCTGAAGCTCCTGCAACTGACTCTTCAACTCCTGCAACTCCTTAACTGCCATTCTGTAAGGTGCCTTAAATACAAACTCATAACCTGACAAGGGCTCTATAGTGAAATTAATCTCTCACACCGGTTGTAACCTTGATAAACCATCAAGAAAAAACTTCTTAATATTCTCTTACCACTGGAATATCACCCAACGACTTTACTTCCTTAGAGGTATCAGTTACCTGAGCATGAAAACATTAATTTCCACTATTTTATAGTTTGAAAGCTTTCAAATAGGTACTTATCAAGAATGAAAATCCTCTTTCACTATAAAATTAAACTTCTACCTCCCCAAGTATATTTATTTTGACAGATTTTTTATTGCATTCAATTGTGAAAAAATATTAGACAACCAATCCATACCTAAATTACCTCAAACTCTACCAAGGATAACACATTAAGTTATGCATCATAATTTTTTCCACCAATCAATAACTTAACCTCGCATGATTGATTACAACAACAACAACAAAGCCTTAATCCCACTACATGGGGTCGGCTACATGAATCCTTTTTCTCCATTGCATCCTATTTAGTATCATACTTTCATTTAGTTCTAATAAATCAAGATCATTTTTATACAATAAGCCCAAGACTTCCTAGGTCTACCTCTGCCTTTCTTAACATAAGTCGAATCTAAAACATCTACTCTCGTAATCAGATCATCAGATGGTTGACGTTTAATGCGACCAAACTATCTATGGAGACTCTCTCTAATTTTGTGCGTCACTGGAGCTACACCAACCCTATCACGAAGATACACATTTCACATTTTGTCTCTAAGTGTAAAGCCACTCATCCACCTAATCATTCTCATCTCGGCAACACTTAACTTAGTATTATGCTTCTCTTTTAAAGGCCAACATTCCATGCCATAGAGCATTGCAAGTCTCACCACCATCTTATAAAATTTTCCTTTCAGTCTAAGCGGTACTTTTCTATCACACAAAAGGCCCGAAACATTCCTCCACTTCAACCAACCAACTTGAGTTCTACTATTAACATCCCCATATATATCACCATCATTTTGAACAACAGACCTGAGATATCTAAATCGTTCACATCTTTTAATAATTTGATCACCATTTACAACTTTGTCACTAAAGCTACTACTTCTAAAATTACATTCCATGTATTCAATTTTAGATATACTCGAACGAAGGCATTTAGGCTCCAATGTATGCCTCCATAATTCAAGTTTTTCCTGAACTCTCTCTAGTCTTATTCACAACATGGATATCATCAGCAAAAAGCACAAACCAAGGTACATCCTTCAATAAATTGTCCTGTAAGACATCCATAACAAAAGCAAAAAAATATGGGCTTAAAGCCGATTTTTGATGTAATCCAACATAAATAGAAAAATAATTGGTGAATCCTCCTTCAGTTCGAACACAACGGCTTTAGCATACATGCTTTAGTATACATTTCTTTAATTACTTGAATATAAGACATATCAACACCTTTCTTCTCAAGAACTCTCCAAAGGATATCTCTTGGAACCTTATCGTAAGATTTTTATAAATCAATAAAAATCAAATGTTGATCCTCCTTACTATCTCTGAACTTCTCCATCAAACCTCTCAAATTACAGTCGAAACACGTGCTTCAGTCGTTTATGGTAGACCTTCTCAGCATAAATCCAAATTGATTATGAGAAATCTTTGTAATACGTCAAATGATTGATTAATCTCTATAAATAGTAAGACCTCACATGATTGATTAAACTCTATAAATATACTATTTGACATTCTAAATGATAATATCACTAGCATTAAGATGATATTTGATTGTATCACTTTAACCAATTCTTTAGCTATAAAAGTGTGATACTCCCGAATCAAATAATAATCTTATTGGTCTATTCCGAAGATAGATGACACCTATCATTGAAATCATTTTGGTGGACATTTAGGGTTGAATTATTAATATATAAAGTTATTATATTGTGTTATGAATGATATGACATGGATTATATTATGATTAAAAATACACTTAGTAAAATTTTTTAATATGAAACATACCTATGATAATGTCAGAGGAGTCCTTAGCCTTGATGATACCATAGCTAATCCAAACCACAATAGGGAAAACAAATTTTGTTATTGTAAGCAAAGAGAGTTATAATCAAACATACTTGAAAGGGAACTTATAACAAACATGACACAAACTCACACTAGAGCTCGATCCGGGGTTGTTGAGGATGGCTAGGTGGTCGGGCAGCGCAGGTAGGTAGTTGAAATGGGTCGGGAGTGATTGGAATAGCAAAAGGAGGGGTTAGAATCACGTTGGCAGCGAAGCGAAGGGCTAGGACAACAAGGGTAGCAAGTGGGGTGGCTATTGGAGTGGCAAGGTGTGGAAGGAAAGGCTGAAATAGGCACATGATAGCAACAAAACAACAGTTGCGGGAATTCTACAAGATCGTGGAAATGGTTGTTTCAATTATCGTCGACGAGTCGAAACACGTGCTTCAGTCCTGATTCGGTGTCTGCACAAGTATTTTTTCCTTTGATGTTTTTCCTATTACAGTCGAAACACGTGCTTCAGTCCTGATTCGGAGTCT